TCGTGGAGTATAAGATTGTAACGGGAAAATTATAACACCCTCTCCTGGGATCTTTTGGTTGTATAACATAAGAAACGAAAAATGTAAGAATAATGTAAGCTATCAGGAGCCGAAGCTGTTGATAATTTGTTATGTCTTGTTGGATGCACGGGTACTCAATATTTCTGCGAGTGCGCCTTATAGTGCAAAGAGGGCCTTTATTATGCAAGTCGCTCTCGGTCGTTACACTTCTTTCTCTGATTGCAATCTACTTTTTTTATATTTTTGCTTATTATTATTTTTTACCTCGTAAGTAGAGTCATGGCGTTTTGGGTTTCCATTCCACGTGCCAATTCAGTAGCCTCTTTTAACAGCGAAAATCACTTATGACCCTTGTACCGGACTCTTGAAGCATATACATAGCACGCCCAAACAGTTTAGACCCACTTTATGTGCTATCATTAAATCATTTCTAAAAGTCCAAAAATACTAATGCATATTGCGACTATCAAAACTTCGAACAAAAATCCACATCTAGCAGGTTCTAATAGTGCTAAGCGGGGTAAAGACACTTTCAGTGAAAAAGTACCATAAGGCACTTTATCGAGCAGGTATTAGATATTAGCCCGGTTCAGGACCGGAATTTGGATCCCCGCTGGTCAGGTAAAAATGTTTTACCTAAATCACAGTCAGGAGTTGAAACAAAACCACACTTAAAAGAAGACAAGCTGAAGGTGTAGTAGGATCAACTCTTCGCTTAGCCCGGCACGCAGGCGTTTTTAGGGGAGCTCGTTGCGTGGGAGGCTACTCTTCGCTTGAACATGTTGAAATATTGGATCATTATACGTATCTGGGTAACTGACCACCTACCCCTTCCCTAAACCAACATTAACACTTACTTCTTACTTAGGGCAAAATGTTGATTTAGGGGATGGGTCAGTCATTCAGCATGCTTATAGATATACAGATGTTAGTATCGATAAGGAAAATGGAGTTGATTTAAATGCTTGAATGAAGACGACCTCTTGAAATGTGTTAACCTTTACGGTACTGTCTTTTTTTGTGCATCTCCTTCCTGCAGTGTAGAAAAACTATCAAATCATTTTTGTCCAGTACTATGCAATGTAAGTTTGCCGTTATGTTATTTTTTCTTTGTTCCAACGCATGTACACGTATAACAAAATACCGGAACTCATCAGCATGGCATGGCCCCTAGCGAGAGGTCTCACTTGCGATAATCGACCCCGCTGTTGCCCATGTTTAGCTATGTTTGCCACTACCGGCCGGGGTGATATGGTTGTGTGTATGCGTAAGGTACTGGCACCGGGGCTTATACTTTTCAAAGGCCCTTTTTGAGGAGCTTATTTTGCGTTTCAAAATCGATTGGGCTAGCTTATAGCTGATAGGAAATTTACCGTTTTTGCTTTGTTTTACTTTGTATTTAAGGGCAATTTCCCAGTACAAGCCCCCCAGTGGGCTTATATTTGGAGGGACGATGTAACAGAGGGTTTTTTGCGTTGCGAGTTCGGGGGGCTTATATTTGGAGGGGCTTATACAAGTAGGGGAATATTTTCGGGAATTTTACGGTTGTTGGTATTGTTTACAAATCTTTAGCCCGACTTCATCTTGATTACTGTAGCGTCTGACTCGTTCCTCCAGTCGTCTCTCAGTAGATTCTTGCCTTCCCGGAAAGCTTCGTATTACTATTTTTCACTAGAAAAGTTTGCAATGTTGTCTTAATTTATTGAGGGAGGTCAGGAGCCGATGGGGAGGTTAAGTCCACTCCCGATCGCAAAATGATAAAACTTCTGATATTTGATAACTCGTTTCCGCAACTACGACATTCTCCCTTACACTCGTAGTAGAGTGACGACGATTATCACATTTTCCCGCAGAAATGACGCTGGTTCACGCGCAAACTGTTGAGGCCTCAAATTTAATAATTGTCCCTAAATGTTATAAAGGTCATTAGTGTAATAACTTTTGACCCTAAATGTAATAAAGGTCCTAAGTGTATTAAATTTCAGCCCTAAATGTAATAAAGGTCCTAACCTAATAAATTTCAACCCTAAATGTATAAAAGGTCCAAAGTGTATAAAAGCTTGCTTAGTATGGTAACTAGGCTTGTGTATGCAAAATAAACTTCAAATGGAGATTTGTACCTTGAGAACTTCTTTTCAGTTCCTCGTTTAAAATCCTCTGGTATAACGTATCTAGCCAGAGCTTTCGCACAGTAAAAGACTTTTCTTCCCCATAATGAATCATACTCTATCTTGGAATGTAGAGCACGAGCAAAGAGCGCAATGACTTCCATTTTTCCTTGAGACTGGGGATGGTATGGGCGGCTGTGTACCAAGTGATTTTACTCGCAATTTATGAAAAAGTCCTTTCACAGCTCCTACAGTGACACTGGAGAGTGATTCGAGCAACACATATTTACTGACCTGATGGTAATGCTGTTTATTTCCTGCTGTCCCATAATCAAATTTTTGACACTTCTTGTTGACTATTACCTGTTTATAGAAACGAAAATGTCAAAACAACAACAACAAAAACAATAACAAGTAATCACGACAGTAGCCTATGGGTGGAGGGGGCGGCTGAGCACAGGTTATCAAGACATTTGCCAGTGAGCTAACGAAAGCGTGCTGGTAACTTGCAAAACTGACAATTGATTTCTACTTATGGACATAATTAAACAAACTAAAAGATGCTCAGCAGTATTTTCCATTTATAGCATCGTGAATTCAAACTTTTCATATTATGCATAAGGGGTTCCAGCAATTAACACAGTAAACTCACATTACGAGTTCAACTGTCAGTTGTCCTCCTTGGTTAATAATAAACATACCTGACCAAAATGCACCACGTCTTTAAAAGATGTTCCTTCCGCAAAATGCGCTAAGTAGACAGGCACTCTTGACTAGAATTAAGTTCAAATAATAATCAGCTATCACAGGAGCCGATAATAAGACCATGTTTTAAAAAAATAATAACAAGTAAATCGAAATAAGAGTTGACTGGAGAAAATGCACCTGAAAAGATCGTATCCGAGAAGGAAACAGGGGACAATGAACCACTGGAATATCCATTTCTGTTTTTTTTCTAATGAGATTTTGACGAAGCGGGACAATCGTTTTAACAGTGTATCCGTTGCAGTTCAGCTATTATTCAAGCTCACTCAGATCATCATGCATTTTTATACACACAAAAAGGAAGTCACATGAAATTCGCACTAAGGGAATGACTTATCCCCAATACATCCATATTTTATAGCTTCTTTTTGTAGGGAGGTGGAACTATCGTCTCGCAACAAACCTCATCAATATTCTTGCTGTCCATGCCGATCACTAACTCCATGAAGTCGTAACAAACTCTCTCTGAGATGGGGTTTGCACAGAAGCCTAGCTTGATAAGTGATCTCAAAAAATCACCAGGGAGTAAGTCAAAGGTAAGACCAGGGAAAAGTTTCTGAAAAACAGAAGTGAAAAAAGAACGTTTTATCGTATGTCCCCAACAACATCTCTTCACAAAAGCCACCCTGGGGACAAAAGCGAGTAACATACAGTGAGTAGTTCATCAGTTTTTTTTTTGGTCGCTCGCTTCTTAAAACTTCTTAAAACCCGCTGTTGAGAGGTTATTTTGGGAGTAAGCGGGCAGTTAAGTGGCCGTTGTCGTTGTGTAGTGGTTCAACATTTAATAAAGAGTATATTACAGGGATGATGGCTGTGGTGGTACGTACGGCTAATGCTTTGCATTTATACCAAGAGAGACTTTTTGCAGGACGGATACAGACATTCAGAAAGACTGAGCCGACGATAGACTTGCCAGCTATAAAGATACTACTTATTTATTAATGAAGAAACGTTGTAGAGGTTAGATTAGACTGGAAATTGTTTAAAAATAGAACACAATTTCTAGCTGATGTCCGTCGAACCGGAAGCTGTACTCGGGACTACCGATAAAAAAAATTCAGCTACTGGTCCTAACAAAGAAACTCCTGAATGAGAGCCTTCAGTGTTGAACACTCGGCCGGGCTGAAAACGAGTTTGTGCTATTTAGCCATAGTTTACCTTGACAAGTGGATACAAAATGTCAGCTCCTTTCTTTGCGATCTCTGTAGCATTATTTAAAGTGTACACAGGAGCTAAAGCGATGAAGGCCTTGATTTTGTTTCCTAGAGCGGGGTCGTCAGAAAATCCAGTAAACGCGATCAGTGTTCCTTGTGAATGGCCCACGTAAAACAACTGCTCTTGTCCAGTGACGTTCAGGACGTAGTTTATCATGGCTGGCAGATCGTAATCAGCCATTTCTTGCCAGCTGAAGAAAAAAAAGGGCATAAAAATATGTGAACATTATAAGTGCAAGGACAGAAGCAATCTAAAAAGGTAAAAAGTTAGAATAGCCATTTTAGACATTTGCATAGCATAGCTGTTGTAGAAATTTGATATTACCAAACGTGAACTAAGGGCAGGAACGGTACCGCTAGGCAAACGTTATGTCAAAAAATGCATCACTTGTCAAGTTAAAACTTCCGATATTAAAAAGTTCAAACGATTCAGTTTTTGACATTGTTTAAGGTAATTCCCTTGAAAATGATGATCTACCAGATTTTTTTTAAACTTGGCACAAATGCCAGCCATATATAGTACATTCAAAAACTGCAATAAAAAGATGGGGTCACCGTGCTTGTTTTCGCCCTGTGTGCCCGTAATTCTGAGTGCTTTTTCCTAGTTAAGAGCGAAATGTTCGAAACTGAAACAATCGTCAAAAATTTGTTATTATATGGAAAAAAACTAAAACCTTAAGCAGGCTTGTTTGTCTGGGCTTTAGAGATGTAGATGTAGAGATATGTACTTTCTTGACATTATCTTCTTCTTCTCTATGGCTCTTAATACTGGCTCTTAATCTGGATAGTAGAAGTTATATTTTTTTAGATATGAATGTCTAAAAAAATACAACTCCTACTATCCAGATTTTTTTCTCCTTAACATATATTTTTTGTGTAGCCATAACGAATACAAAACACAAATAAAGAAGGGGGGGTTCACCGTACTCGCTTCATTGCAAACTTCAAATGATCATTTTGTGAGAGGGAACTGGAATGAGTTTCAAGAAAAACACCTTTTTAGCTGGGTAGAATTATCAAAATCACTATTAAAAGCATTTGGACTACGAAAGGGGCCATAATTTCCTCTTTTTAGGCGACCGGTGAAATCACGGCTCCCTCTGAAGTTGCAATGGTATACACACTAGGTGATACACAGTGCAAAACTAGGTAATTACCTTAAAGGGTCACTTTTCAGCTGGACTTGAATACAAGTACCACCACAATTTATACCGTTGCTATAGCCGGTCATACGTACTTTGAAATGAATCTCGCTCTCTCTTTATCTTTGCATTTGAGGGTCTTTTATAACTGTGTCTGAGTTCTCGATGCGGGGTTCAAACCTATTGCGTCACTCAAATAATTAACAATTATTCCTCGAGTCCGAATGGGCTATTGACTCAGAGGCCATGAGGGCTCGAGGAATAATTGTTTTCGTAAAATCCAACTAGTTGGTCAAAAATATCGAGACAAAACAACCTTAGCTAGCAAAACGCGATTTTGGTTTTCCAAGCCGGCGCTTTTCGCTACTAGTGGGCTATAACATATAGCCCATTAGTAGTTCAACCAATCAGAACGCAGCATTGATAATAGACCAGGATTTTACTAATGAATAATACATGTACTCATAAGCACTTTTGAAATTAATCGCGCTTTCTCTTAGTTATCCGTGAGGATCTTTTCTAACTGTGTCTGAGTTCTCGACGTGTGGTTCGAGCCTAATTTGTCCCTGGATAGGCGCTCTAACCTAGCTGAACAAAACGAGCTCACCTCCAATTCCAGAAAACTGATTGGCTGGGTTTATATTTCACGTGACGTCTTGAATAGTCATTTCCCCGGATGTTTCCAAGCCATACATCAAAACCTTTATCTGCAAGTATGTATGCAAGGCTCTCTGTTGGCGAGTCCATCACCCAGTTTGTAGAGTCTGCAAGAATTCCATGCTGCAGAAAGACGACTTCTTTTGCCACAGAATTCTTCTTTTCTCCTCGTCCGCGTGGAATCCGCTGCATGGCAAGAATGAAGCCATCTGATGTTGTTACCTGGTGTTCTTCACAATCATATCCTCTGCTAGCGATTATCTGAGTCTAGTGAAAAAGACAAACTCATTATGAGAGCCGGAATCTGACGCGTCGGGAAAAAGGTGTTGTGCTTCAGATGAGGCAAAGAATTCGAAATGTCTGAGGAACGAGAGCAGAAATTCCATACTGATCTCATGTGGCTACCCAGCTACCCAGATCTGCCGGTAGACCGCGAGCCTCTTGTTTTTCTCAGCAAAATCGCTCCATGCGTCGTTATTTGCAATCTCGCTGGCTGGGATAATAACTGGACAGGGTTCAAGAGGCAATTTTTTTCTGATCTAATTCTTGATCGTTCTCCGTTTGTTATAAACATCGAAACCGCTTTTCAATCTCATGCGGTGAAGTTCTTCGATAACGGTAAGCAAGTTCACTGTTATATCGTACACTCCCTTCGGACGTGGGAGCAACAAATGGGCGACCCAGTTCAGAATTCTGAACTGATTTCTCGCATGGAAATGAGGTTGCTTGCTTGTGTGACAAGACGTTCGTCTCGGGAGCTTCATCAACCCTACTGAAAGCACGGTTTAGAACGGACCTTTGGAGCCAAGGTGTGCTTTTGACTGGATGAAACGTATTTTCAACCAATCAGAAACATTATCAGTATCCACACGTTATCAGTATGGAATTTCTGTACTCGTTTCTCTGACGTCATTTTGCGGCGAAACCAGTGGCAACCTCGTTCCCAGGGGTTCTCTCCTACCCGCCCCCATGGAGAGAGAGAGAGAGAGACCCTGGAAAACGCTGGTCACGTGTCTCACAGAATCTGGGAGATAACAAACAAACGATTTGGGGGAGGGGCAGGTAAGTGTGAGATTTGTCTCTACAGAGCGTAGACAGGTCAGTGCAGCTATCAAACTGTGTACCTGACCCGATCTTGAACGCGGAAAATAATGCACAAAGTCCTTTGATAGCGAAAGCGTAACTTCCTGCAGAGTATCTGGATGTTAATCGGATGTTTATCAGCGATGCTTTCATTTAGCACGTGCAACGGAAATCGCGGAGGATTCACCGTTTGTGCAGTCAGAAATAATTTAGGTATCCTGGTAGTAGTATTCATACCGAAACGCACCAGATTTGAATTGCCGTTTATATGTTGTGGAGGCCACTTTAGAAAACAAATGTACAGTATCTGTATGTGTTTTCAAGACTACTATTATGCAAGGCGCCGAAAAATGTATCAAGCGTTGCCGTCCTCACCCGCGACCTCGAACAACCTCGTTCCCAGGGTTTTCTCCTACCCGCCCCCATGGGTTGGACCTCGAACTGCCTCGAAGCAACAGGAAGAGAGAATACGCGGCTCGGACAGTCAGGCTGATTGTTAGCTATTGTTCAAATGGAAAGAGGTAAAGAGAATCTTGAAAGAAAATATTTTTAGCCAAGGCTCTGTGTTTTTTGCATTTTTTGTCGTCGTCTATAATTATCAGGATAGCCGTAAGCTTCTTCGTTAAAAAATACTGTATGATATGGCTTGCACAACTGCCAACCTTTTATTGTTCCTTAATTTTCTGGATGTTTAGGTATGCTTTAGGGGATAGAAATCACTGAGCCACATGTGTTGTTAAATAAAGTTTTCATATTGGCCATAAACAAGAAAGCCTTTCGCTTGGAAGGTTATGTTGTCTGTTTTGTCTCTGTTTATACTATTTCCTGTTGTCTTACTAGTGTCGCGTTGGTATATAGAGAATACTTCATGGAAAGTGCTGGCGTACGGTATTTACGCACGAGTTGTTGACGTATCAGAAATCGAACGAGTGAGCGCAGCGAACGAGTAAGATTTCTGATACAAAAACAACGAGTGCGTAAATACCGTACAAAGCACTTTCCATGTGGTATTGTGTTTATTATATACATATTGAGACATTCATCATTTTGGCGGCCTTTTTATTTTAAATCTTTCAAAAATGCTAAAATTTGCCGCTACACATTTACCGCAAAATGACAACGAAAACGAAGTATCAGCTTTTTAGTAAAAACGTTTGTTAAAAACATAAATGACGGTTAGGATATGAGGTAATCCAAGAACTATAAGTAGTCTTAACTGTTTGTTCTCAATGCACAATTGAAAATGAGTGAATTTAAGTAAAATGGCCGGTCTCAATATAAGATTAATAAGCTTAAACGAAAGGCAAAATAGCTCCGACAAAAAGCACAACAAAAGCTTACTTCTCGTTCTGTTTTTCCCTTTCCGCTGTTGTTTCGCCGGTTCTCTACCGTTTTCTTTATCGACAGTGAAACAAACGAAACTATTCCACTCCATTTCTGAAATGTTTTTCACTTTTTTAGCGAGAAAAACTCTTTGAGTAAAACTTTTCTCGTTGAATGTGTGCGAAGCGGCGCTGCAAGCTGCAATAAAAGGCGGGAATTTTGGCGCGAAACTCACACACCTCTGTAGCTTCTGATTGGACGTATCATTTTTCTCACACGTGAAAAAACATCGTTCGCGATTCTGATTGGACGTATCACTTTTTTCACGTGTGAAAACCATCGTTCGCTCCTCTGATTGGCTAGAACTAATTTGCGTACGAAAATTTACGACATAGTTTTTTGGTGAGTATTTCTCAGTATGTATATAATAAATAATTATTTTCATCTTTGACCTATTTACCACTTTTCTTTTGCCGCATCATGACAAAGGTTAGGGAGAGGAAAATGCTGACATTTTAGGCTATAGCTTTCCGTGAAGTCACTAGATCTAAAATATTACTTTGATCGTAAATGTATTAACCGAATTTCTTGCTCTCAATGTAACTGCCATGTTTTGTCCCGCCCGCCAACCGCTAAGACCGCAAATGGTGCAGGTTTATTTGGCCCGATTACCAGCCGCTGTTAGACAAACATTGAAACTTTTGATATAGAAGTTCAACATACAGGGATTTTACCTTCAAAAAATTAACTCGCTTGTGTATAACTCAAGATCGTAGACTTTTAGCGATTGGTGTCGTCGGTTAAATCGGCGACATTGCTAGTTTTGATTCCTTCTCTGGTAATCCACTTGTTTATCTGGTGGTTCCTTTAGTTTCAGTTATAGTTGTAGTAGGGTTAGCAAATTTATCTTGCTGTTGCGATCACTGCGTGAACGTCACGAATAAACCAGACAAAAAAAATGTGAGACAAAGGACTCCTCCCTCAGAAATAATTTTGTTCTGGAGCCACGTGACCAGCGTTTTCCAGGGTCTCTCTCTCTCTCGCTCCATGGGGGCGGGTAGGAGAGAACCCTGGGAACGAGGTTGAAGGTAATAAATCCATTTATTAACTGGTTGAACCAGTGGTGGCATCTCGAAATGTCGGCTGTCTTCTCAGGCTAGTTTTTGAGGTGCTTACTATTTTTTTACAATACCATTTACGTCAAGGTTGGAATCTAATAAGGCCTAGGGAAAGGTAGAGATCTGATTTCGTTTGCTTTGTACCAGCGTGAATGATGGACTCTCAAAACGTAGTCCTAAATTGGAATGTAAAAGTGACCTTGCTATTAACCTTTGGTTGCATTCAAAATTTTCGAGAGTTTAGTACGCCAAGTTTTAGTCCAGTGACTCTGAAAAGAGAAATAAAAGACTTCTTGTAGTCTTAAAAAAGATGTGTTGTTTCCTTACAACTCTATTGAAAAAGAATGAAAAATTTCTTGACCAGTCGTTCGATTGGGCGTAGTCCTACTGTAAACAGGAATGTAAGTGACACGGTGACTCAGTAGGGTTTTGTCGTTACCTAAGACATCATCAAAGTCAGAGATATTTTTCACGCAGCTAAGGAAAGGAAAATATGATCTGGGTTTTGAATAAATGGGGCTGAAATAGCATCATTTCAACAAAAGGCCTTTTCTGGTCCGCGATCAAAAGGAAGACAGAAGGAGGCTCTGTTCGCAGGGTGAAGAGAATGGAGATGATCAAGGAATAATTCTCTGACAAAAAAAAAAACCAGACAAAAGGGCAAGTAGCCAATACTATGAGTAAACGCCACGGATGTGACTAATCTTGGATGTTATTTCCGACCACAGTTCAAGCTGCAAATCCGACCTTACCTTCTATTTGTTTACTTTGCCGCGGGTATGAAGCAATTGTAAAAACAAGAGCTTGAATTAATTCACAAGCTGTTTAGTTCATGCACGCATTATAATACAGTTTTTAGCCATGGCAATTTGAAGAGCAAGAGAGAAGCCATTCACCAAAGAAGCTCAGTGATATAAAAATCAGAATAAAATGTCTTATCAGCATTCTCGCCTTGAGCTACTGCCTGACAAGTCTTTTGTTTTCGGATCCATGTGGCGGGTACGGAGTACGGACGTATTCAAGATCAAAAGGATTGAAGGGGGCGGGGATGAGGGAGGTTCAGGTACGCGCGCCTCAGTTCTCTTAGTCACGCAGCCATTCAGCAGGATAACCACTTCAACTCCCTCTTTAATATAGTTACGTAACCGAAAAGGTGGGAATAAAAACAACAAAAATCCTTGTCTGTAAATCGACTTCTTTTAACTGATTCTGTGCGGCCTATGGAGTGTTAAAAGAATTGCAATACGTGATGTTAAATGCTGCGTAATCTTCGGTATGATATGTTGCGCCACACTCATCACAGTATGCATCGGTGTCAACAAATCATGTGATTCTTACACAATAGAATGTTGAATTCTAGCAGATATTTCATTATATACTCATTCAGTGTCTATCAGTGTTTTGCCGAAAGATACAATGGAACGCCGCTGCGTTCATTTTATTAGAGAAAAACTGAAAGATTTATAAGGAAAGATTGCGTGTGTCTTCCAGGAACGGCGTGAAAAAATTGTTGGCCCATCGACGTAAAGAGTACATTTCAATGCACCCAGTGTTAGCAACATGTACAGTTTAATCTCGAAGGAATTGCCCCACATACACCATTAATTCCGCAAACGAAACTCTAGTCCAATGCAATGTAAAAACCAACAGAGTGAGAGATCACTTACCACATTCCTTCCGACATCAGGGCTTTCGCTGGGCCGGATTCGTTTGAAGGGGATGAATCCACCGTTGGAAGAATTGACTACAATAAGAACAAGGAGAAAAGCCCACTTCATCTTCGATTCAACAAAATGGAAATGGTTCACAGATTTTGGTGAATTCTGTGGACAAAATCACAACCCTTCCAACAAAGATTTATACTAGACAAGGCGAGCAGGACCTATCGATCTAAAGTGCAAGCGGAAACCCGCTTTCTTGTTTGTCAGGAGTCGTGTTACAATTACGCACTTGTCTATTTTTTGTTTATTGTGTTGTGTGAACTCATGTGATCCCGGGGGATACACCTTTTTATGTTTTGTTTTCCCAATAGGTCATTTTTGACGGCGAGTTAACAAAATTTGACTACAAGTACCAGAATTCATTTCTTTTTTGCTTTCTTATTGAATCCCGCCACATTTTAAAACACAACAGCCCTAATTTGCACAAGAAAACAACAACTGAAAGACCTAAAGGATTCTGGTAGATGTATGTAGTAGAATGACGTCATCATGCAATTGTCCTATGTTCTCCAGCGAATTTGCCTTTGGCCGTTTCATAAATTACGCATACATATGCACGTGGATGCACGTGCATAGGAAACAATCAATTCTCTGGGGTACCATCACGTAGTCTGAAATGGGAAAACAAAAGGGTCGACCCAATACTCTCTTGCAGGTTAGCCTGTTCCAAGCGTTCAGATAGTCGTGGAGTATAAGATTGTAACGGGAAAATTATAACACCCTCTCCTGGGATCTTTTGGTTGTATAACATAAGAAACGAAAAATGTAAGAATAATGTAAGCTATCAGGAGCCGAAGCTGTTGATAATTTGTTATGTCTTGTTGGATGCACGGGTACTCAATATTTCTGCGAGTGCGCGTTTTAGTGCAAAGAGGGCCTTTATTGTGCAAGTCGCTCTCGATCGTTACACTTCTTTCTCTGATTGCAATCTACTTTTTTTTTTTTTGCTTATTATTATTTTTTACCTCGTAAGTAGAGTCATGGCGTTTTGGGTTTCCATTCCACGTGCCAATTCAGTAGCCTCTTTTAACAGCGAAAAACACTTATGACCCTTGTACCGGACTCTTGAAGCATATACATAGCACGCCCAAACAGTTTAGACCCACTTTATGAGCTATCATTAAATCATTTCTAAAAGTCCAAAAATACTAATGCATATTGCGACTATCAAAACTTCGAACAAAAATCCACATCTAGCAGGTTCTAATAGTGCTAAGCGGGGTAAAGACACTTTCAGTGAAAAAGTGCCATAAGGCACTTTATCGAGCAGGTATTAGATATTAGCCCGGTTCAGGACCGGAATTTGGATCCCCGCTGGTCAGGTAAAAATGTTTTACCTAAATCACAGTCAGGAGTTGAAACAAAACCACACTTAAAAGAAGACAAGCTGAAGGTGTAGTAGGGTCAACTCTTCGCTTAGCCTCCCACGCAGGCGTTTTTAGGGGAGCTCGTTGCGTGGGAGGCTACTCTTCGCTTGAATATGTTGAAATATTGGATCATTATACGTATCTGGGTAACTGACCACCTACCCCTTCCCTAAACCAACATTAACACTTACTTCTTACTAAGGGCAAAATGTTGATTTAGGGGATGGGTATCATTCAGCATGCTTATAGATATACAGATGTTAGTATCGATAAGGAAAATGGAGTTGATTTAAATGCTTGAATGAAGACGACCTATTGAAATGTGTTAACCTTCACGGTACTGACGTTATTTGTGCATCTCCTTCCTGCAGTGTAGAAAAACTATCAAATCATTTTTTTCCAATACTATGCAATGTAAGTTTGCCGTTATGTTATTTTTTCTTTGTTCTAACGCATGTATGACAAAATACCGGGACTCATCAGCATGGCATGGCCCCTAGCGAGAGGTCTCACTTGCGATAATCCACCCCGCAGTTGCCCATGTTTAGCTATGTTTGCCACTACCGGCCGGGGTGATATGGTTGTGTGTATGCGTAAGGTACTGGCACCGGGGCTTGTACTTTTCAAAGGCCCTTTTTGAGGAGCTTATTTTGCGTTTCAAAATCGATTGGGCTAGCTTATAGCTGATAGGAAATTTACCGTTTTTGCTTTGTTTTACTTTGTATTTGAGGGCAATTTCCCAGTACAAGCCCCCCAGTGGGCTTATATTTGGAGGGACGATGTAACGGAGGGTTTTTTGCGTTGCGAGTTCGGGGGGCTTATATTTGGAGGGGCTTATACAAGGAGGGGAATTTTACGGTTGTTGGTGTTGTTTACAAATCTTTAGCCCGACTTCATCTTGATTACTGTAGCGTCTGACTCGTTCCTCCAGTCGTCTCTCAGTAGATTCTTGCCTTCCCGGAAAGCTTCGTATTACTATTTTTCTCTAGAAAAGTTTGCAATGTTGTCTTAATTTATTGAGGGAGGTCAGGAGCCGATGGGGAGGTTAAGTCCACTCCCGATCGCAAAATGATAAAACTTCTGATATTTGATAACTCGTTTCCGCAGCTACGACATTCTCCCTTACACTCGTAGTAGAGTGACGACGATTATCACATTTTCCCGCCGAAATGACGCTGGTTCACGCGCAAGCTGAGGCCTTAAATGTAATAAATGACCCTAAACGTAATAAAGATCCTAAGTGTAATAAGTTTTGGCCCTGAATGTAAATAAAAGTCCTAACAGTAGTAGAATAACTACGGCCCTACACTTGATAAAGTAGTCACAGTGACTGAAAAATGCAACAGTCTGATGAGATAATGTCATATTTCCTCGTCATATTGAAATCTGTATTGTCCATAGTAACCTTGTTTAATCTCCAATATTTTGCAAAGCCATTGTTTCCAGTTTCTTCGGGGCATTACAGGTTTTCCAAGGGAAACTGAAAGGGCTTAGGCACAAAATTTGTTCGGTAGACAAGGTTATTATTTGAGCAATGAGAATATGGTGGATTAAAAGAAAATCAGCAAAAGATAAATTCTTAAATGATAATGATGGTATTGGTAAATGTCTCTGAAACCAGATCACAGTTCTAAACAAAGCCAACGGCGGTACCTGGCCTTGTTAAATCCCAGCCTGATATTAGGAAAAGAAGGAAAACTAACCACTCAAGAAGTAGTGAGAAACCCTCGACTAGGCCTCATGTTTGTTCTCGTATTTGTCAGACACCAAGTAGGTCTGTTGGATCTTGGAAAGTGTGGAAAGATTAAATTTCAGATCAAGGAATAGTTTATCAATATGTATTTTCCGTTATGAATGTTTTCAGTAGCCTCGTTTGTGTTAGATCTGTTTAAAGTAAAAATAACAAAACAGTTGCGGTTGAGTTTAAGGCAAAGAAAATAGACCCCCTTTTATTTAAACTAGATTTAAACTAGATTGCTTCTAGGATTGTTCGTTTAATATATATATATATATATATATTTATGGAATTTTCTTTTTTCTCTTGTACCCTCCTCGAATGGCCTTCGCTAATTGTGGGGACAAGCTTTGTAAGCTATATTTAATTTGAAATAAACTTGTTGTTGTTGTTGTTGTTTGTTTGTACTGCGAAGTGACCAAGGCTCTGAATTTAAGGAGCTGTGAAAGGACTTTTTCATAAATTGCGAGTAAAATCACTTGGTACACAGCCGCCCATACCATCCCCAGTCTCAAGGAAAAATGGAAGTCATTGCGCTCTTTGCTCGTGCTCTACATTCCAAGATANGGGACAAGCTTTGTAAGCTATATTTAATTTGAAATAAACTTGTTGTTGTTGTTGTTGTTTGTTTGTACTGCGAAGTGACCAAGGCTCTGAATTTAAGGAGCTGTGAAAGGACTTTTTCATAAATTGCGAGTAAAATCACTTGGTACACAGCCGCCCATACCATCCCCAGTCTCAAGGAAAAATGGAAGTCATTGCGCTCTTTGCTCGTGCTCTACATTCCAAGATAAAGTATGATTCGTTATGGGGAAGAAAAGTCTTTAACTGGGCGAAAGCTCTGGCTAGATACCAGAGGATTTTAAACGAGGAACTGAAAAGAAGTCAGGCGCGGATCTAGGATTAATACCGACCGATTTCCTAAACGAGCGCCGAAGGCGGAAGCTTTTAGGGGGTCTGGGGGCATGTCTCAATGGGAAATTTTTTTCGATTTTAAACTTCCCAAAGTCCCCTTTCTTGGGTTTCTGAGTCATTCAGACAGGATAATTTGGCCAGTTCCTTCTCCTCGGATGAAGCCTTGCAACTTAATATATCTATTATGAAAGATCTGACTGATTTCCGTAAAACAGTGGAAACCGGTGTGGATCCGCGCCTGGAAGTACTCAAAGTACAAATCTCCATTTGAAGTTTATTTTGCATACACAAGCCTAGTTACCATACTAACCAAGCTTTTATACATTTTGGACCTTTTATACATTTAAGGTTGAAATTTATTAGGTTTAATAGGACCTTTATTACATTTAAGGCTGAAATTTATTACACTTAGGACCTTTTTTACATTTAGGGTCAAAAGTTATTACACTAATGACCTTTATAACATTTAGGGACAATTATTACATTTGAGGCCTCAACAGCACTACTGAGAATTGAGAAAATCTCGTCGGCTGTCTCGTACTCGTAGTCGTACTCGTCTTAGAATCTCTTTATATATTGCTGTCTCATTCGAAAGGTACAGTATGGAACAGTAGACAGTTACTTATGAATAAAATCAAAGTTGAAGGCTTACAATACAAATACAACACAATACTTTTATTTATTCTCCCGGGGGGCTTTTCAGAATTAATTTACAATATGTATAAATAATACAACTAAGACTAATGATATACATGTTCTTGATATATAAATAACAGCTTAAATTTACTACTTCTAATAATAACTAACAATGTAATAGTATACTATGGTATGTATACCGGTATCCTATTTCTACATTAATTCTGCCTTTGCATGCTTTTTAAATGATCTTAATGATCAGGCAGTTCTAGTGCTGTTACTGAGACTATTCCACACTTTTGCTGCCCTATAAAAGAAGCCACTCTGGGCAGCCGCTGTCCGGCATCCTGGCAGGTTTAGATCTTCACTGTTGTGGAGATTGTAAGCGTGCGTATTGGATCGCT